AGAATTTATGTCAACAAGTTTTCAACAGTGGTTGGGACAGTTAGGAATAAGACATAGTCACACAAATCCATACACAGCAGCTGAGAATGGTGTTGCTGAGAGGTGGAATGGAGTCTTACAAACCATGAAGGACTCACTGCTAAAGGATTCTGGTCTGAACAGACCATATTGGGGTGAAGCCATATTGACTGCTAATTATTTAGTTAATCGACTATGTAGTTTCTCCATTAATGATACTCCATATCCAGTGCTATATGTGAGAAAACCATCTCTGGCATATTTAAGGGTGTTTGGAAGCAATGCATGGGTGCATATTCCAAAAAGCAATTAGAAGAAAGGGGAAACCAAAGGCCAGAAAGCTCAGGTTTATGGGCTATGAGCCAGGCCCAAAGAGCTATCGCTTTAGCGATGGGAGCAAGACAATAGTAATTTTCAGGTAATTTTCAGGTCTAATTTTCAGAGCAAAATTGGAACAGAATTGATTCAAATTTTTGGAATGATTCACTTAGTGATGGTGATCCACTTAGTGACAGTAACTCACTTAGTGATGGTGTCAGCGTTCAGGGAGAAGATGAAAAAGATATGAAGCAAGAGAGGGTTGAAGCACAGGAGCAGTCAATGCCACACAGGTCAGAGTGATGGAACAAAGGGATTCCACCTGACAGGTATTCTGCCAGTAAACTTAATGTGTGTGATGCATGGTATAAGACAAAGAACTATAAGGAAGTATTGGCATTACCTAAAATTGAACAAATAAAGAGGAAAAAAGCCATGGGCAAAAAAATGAAATCCATGGGAGAACATGAAGTGTTCACCTCTATGACTTTGCCACAGGATAGCAAAGCTGTAGGATGCAAGTGGGTATACAAGAAGAAAGAACTGTCCAATAATGAGGTACAATATAAAGCAAGGTTAATGGCACAAGGGTTTTCACAAATGAAAAATGTGCACTATAATGAGATATTTGTGTCAACTGTAAAGAGTGAAAGCATCAGGCTGGCACAAGCGTTGGCAGCGGCACATGGCCATAACATTTGGCATTTTGACTTAATCACTGCATTCCTCAATGCAGACTTAGAGGAAGAAATTTACATGGTTCAAGCACCAGGGCATGAAAGTAAAAAGCCTAACATGGCGTATAAATTGAACAAGGCCATTTATGGGCTGAAGGAATTTGAATATTTGTTTAGATAAGGCATTGAAAGGTCTTGGATTCAAGAGTTGCAAGGCTGATGGTTGCATATACACTGGAAAGTTAAAAGGTGGGGATTGTCAACTATTAGCATTTGTAGATTTGTGGATACAAAGGATGTATCAAAGGTAAACGAATTTGCTAATAAGTTGGAGAAGAAATTTGAATTAAAGAATTTGGGAGAAATAAAAAATTATCTCAGTGTAGAGATACAAAAAACTGAGAAAGGCAGTTATATTCTGAGTCAAAAAAATATTGAACAGTTGTTGGAGAGATATAACATGAAAAATTGTAATACTGCTCCAACACCTTATGAGTACAGATTTTCATAACAGTTTGGGTGAGGACGATAGTGAAACCTGTGATCAAGAGATATCAGTCAGCAATAGGAAGCCTCTTATATCTGTCACAATGGTCCAGATCATGCATAACTTGCACAGTAAGCATTTTGAGTCGCTTTACTGCTGCATCAACGCAATTGCATTGGATGGGTGTAAAAAGGATTCTCAGGTATTTGAAGTGAATTTGTGAATTTGGATCCTCAAATACAGGTCTCTGAGAATTAAAATTGAAATGCTATGTTGATAGTGATTATGCAAATGATGTAAAAACCAGAAAATCAAATTCTGGGATTGTGATATTGTTTAGAGGGCTTTAATTGGTTGGAAGTCCAGAAAGCAAACAACTGTAACCATTTCTATGCAGAGGCAGAATTTATTGCTTTGTCTGAACTCTGTTCAGAGATCACTAGGTATGTACAGCTGTTACAGGATTTAAATATAAAGGTAAATCAAGCTGTAATCATCTACGAAGATAATGCTGCCTGCATTAAAATTGCAACAGATGGGACTTCCCCAAAGACGGACCGCTGACCATGATTATCCATGGCTTTGGTCCGTGCTTTTTCATCTGAGAGCCCTGATTGGCTAGATCTGGGGCAGAAGCTGCCGGCGGAAAAAGGGGAGACCATCAGCCGGGTAGAGGGGGGTTGCAAATCCCCTCCCTGCCTTGGCAAAGCTCCCTCCTGAAGATGTCTGAAGCGGTGGTCTAAAATGGCCACTCTGAAGGGGAAGAGTAAGCTGGAATAAGATTGTGCAGGAGAGAGAAAGAAGCAGACAATATGAGAAACGGGATGCTATAACTAAATGAAAGATACACCAGGATTAATTTTAAGAATTTTTTTTTAAAGGCTTTAAAGCGGCGAAGAGAAAGGAGAAAAAAAAGGTGTGAATTGTTTTTTGACAACGGTGGGGCTTTGAACTGGAAAAGGTAGAAGCTGGAAGAAGAAACCATTTAACTAATTTGGATAAATATATTGTTACCATATAAGCACTAATAAGGCTGAATTTGTGATTGTTAAAGAGAAAACTCAATATCAATTGGGTTTGATTTTTTTTTGGAAGACTGTGGTTTAAAAAGGAGTGAAATTTGTTATGATAAAGAGTGCCATCTAATGGTTAAGGTTAATTTGTTTTTGTTTTTTACTAAAAGATTCTGTTTCTAAAAAATCTTAAGGAACATTGATACAATGTAACAAGATCTTTGAAAAATTGAAACTTTGAAACAAGGAAAGAAGCAGGAAGATTCTGCCCTGGGATTAATTGTTGATTTTGGCTGGACTTGGTTTTGGACTAGTTATGAACTAAAAATTTGAGAGGAATAAAACAAAAGCTGAATGTTGGAAACTAACCTCATAGACACTATTTGGATTAAATTATTAGACAAAAACATGTAAAATGGCGATATCTCTTCTGGAATTAAAAATGGAACTCAGAAACATGAAAGAAATATTACAAGAATGAGGTGAATCATTGGGTTATACTTTAAAATTCTTGGAAAACATGATCTCAGAATATTAACAACACAGACAACAAAGACAAAAGATGGAAGATGAGGTGGAGTTGACTACAGAAGAGGCCATTTTTAACTATCATTGGGAACAAAGAATTCTGAAAAGAGGGAGAAGAAGAGTGGGAAATAAAAATATGAGATAAGAAGTTAAATAAAAAAGGGAATATTTGCAAAATTAAAAAAGGTCAACAGAAACAGCAGAAAATTGAAAGGTGGAAGGAAGCTATAAATAAGGAGTGGGATAAAAACTGGAGAGGCAGAATAAACTGAAAGGGAAAAGAAAGGATAAGAAGCAGAATTTGGAAACAAAGAAATATGGGAATTGTAAAAAAATGAAAGGGAATTGTTTAATTAGAAGGCATAAAGACAATGGCTAATTAATATCTTAAAAGGGGATTCTGCAAGTTGAGGAGGGGTAGTTTAAATATACTTAAAGTTATGAATATTGTAGGAAAGAAGGATATATAGGTTATTAAGATGGAAAATAGAACTGATACTCTGAACTGAACTGGAAGGTAAGCTCTTTTCTTATATGTATAGAGGTGAATGTAATAATTAATGGAAGATGTTTACTAAATATATTGAAATAACTGAAATGAAATATGAGGGGGGTTGTAAAGGAGTAGACATTTTTTTAGTTCTGGAAAGCAGGCTTTTTTAAAGATATAAAGATGAATGGAATAATTAATGGAATGTGTGCATTAAATTAATTTAAATGATATAGGAGGAGAGCTGGAATGAAATTAATATCAGAGTTTAGGATTAAGTGAATAGATTAATATGTTTTCTTTAGTTTGAAATTGTAAATAATTTTTATGAATTTAAGAAGGGGAAAATCCATACAGAATCTGATTTATATTTGCTATGTAGTTTTAAAAGGATTATTAATTTCAATTTTTAGGTAATAAAGGTTAAATTTCATTGGGATTAAAAGGGGAGATAATTAGTGAATATATAAACTTTAGAGGTGGCACTTAAAATTGGTAATTTAAGGTGGAAACTAATTATATAGAATGATTGTATTAAATTAGATTTTATGAATGGATGTAATAAGCATATGTGATGAAATATGCAAATATGACAGTTAAAAGTATTAAAGTATAATAACTATGAAATATAGGTGAATGAGGCAAGCATTTGGAATAATATAATAAAGTAGAAAATGTATAAAAGCATTGTTAGGATAAGAACTTACTAACACAACCAGAAGCCTGGAAAACAAGCAGATTACACTTGCTGTTACAGCTCCTGTTTGACATACATGATTACAGAAGAATCCACAGGCAGGATACACATATAAAACAAGTGTGTAAGAGAGGTCACCATGTTACCATGTTTTTTAAACCATTCACTAATTTCCAAATATCTTTGAAGTGGGGGACCAAGACAAAAAGAATTATCTAAGCCATAATTCAACATCTTCTAGGACACAATCACCAAGACAGTAGTTCTAAAATGCAACCCAACAAAATTTCATACCAGTGTAAGATGAGTATTCTAGAGAAAACAAACTTTACTAAAGGCAAATTTCCAGAACAATTCATCCTTCATAATTCCCCTTTTGTTATGCTTACAAACAAAATAATTATATCAATAAGAGCAACCATTCTCCTTTATGCTAATTAGCCCACCAGAAACAGATTAAATCAACAACTTTTAACTGAGAAAACAAAACAGAAAATGCACAAAATATTTAGTCTTTTGATCTGCTAGCCACACTGCCCTCCATCAGAAAATAAGGATATAACCAAATTAATTAATAAAATCAATTCATCTATTTGCTATGAAATGATTTTAAAATCGCCATAAACATGATAAACATCTTGTCAGATTAACCTAAAATGATTTAACATTCCTGGTTCTGATAAATGAAACTTATTTTTCTATACTTTTTACTCATAATTTTTTTTCATCAGGTCTTCTGAGGATTGTTGATTCTATATGAAACTAAACTTACCTACTATTACTGTCCTGCCATAAGGAATCTTCATTAACTTTCCTTTCCATACCTGAATGAAAAAAAAAATGAAATACATTCTTAACTTCCCAAGTTTCATTTATCTTTCAGAACACTAAAATTCATTTCAACAGATGGTGAAGTTCATATTGCATGTTTCTTCTTGCTGAAGAAGAGGTTTACCTTGTGCTGAGCTAGTACTGGCTTCATCACCTTGCTTATTATGACCAAACATCTGTAAAACAAAACAGTGCAAACACTGAACAGACACAAAAGTTCCTCCAATAAATATTTGCTCAGAAAAAAACATATAACTAAGAACAATATTCTGAATTTAATTAAAAGAGCCTCTGTATGTTTCCATTCTCAGTAGAATGTTTCCATTTCAGGAATAATCTCACTCAGAAAAATGTTAGAATGTGCAGAAATGAATAGATCAGTGGTCAGGGAACAGGGGTAAATTACCCCAAATGGGGTAAAAGTGAAAATCTGGGGGTAATGAGGAGGTTGCGCTGGCCAATGGCGGAACTATCGGCATAGCAGCAGTTATTAAAACACCCTTGAGGCAAATTTATCCCCTCCACCCCACCCTTGTTTCCTGGGTCGGAAATGACTCCAGGCTAGATTCTGCAAGAGCCGCGCCGCCCGTTTTTTAGGGGAAGGCGAGCTTCTGGCATAGGGCAGAGCATTTTGGGAAAAGGGACGCTTTCCCCCGCGCTGCGATGACCGCACGCTTTTCGCGCGCAGTTTGTGTCACCGTGGCTCCCAAATATCATCCTCCCTTCCCGCTTCCTCGCCCCCAGGCCCTGCCTGCCTGCCAACTAGCCAGCCAGCCCGGCTCCCTCCCCGAAGCCTCTCATCACTGCCAGGCACACAGGAAGCGAAGAGGCATCTGCAACTGCCGCCTTGGCCCCGAGAAAATTCCCAGAAGCCCTCGGGAAGCCTGGTGACATTTCATTCCCTGGAGCGAGCTATCCCGCCTTCTTCCCAGCCGCGGGGGGGGGGAGGGCACCTCCTCCCGCCTCGACCTCCAAATTATGTGTCAGCAGCCTGAGGTGGCCGGGGAGGGGGAGAGGCCGGGAGGGGTAACGTCTGCGTTTATAAATTTTTTGGGGGGTAAGAGGTAAAAAAGTTCCCTGACCCCTGGAATAGATTAACACTTACAATTAAAGAGAAGGCGCAAACTGAATATTACCAGATACAGGAATTATTTAATAGATTGGCTAGAGAAAAAAATATGAAATCTAGAAATAGCTAATAGACTAGTGAAATATAGAAAATATGATAATAGAATTAAACATATTAAGAAAAGGAGTGATATTAATAGGAATATTATGTATATCAATAAGATAAGGTAAGAATAGAGAATTAATATCGAAGAATGGATATGGTTGTAAAATTTAACTGTTACTGCACAAGATATTTGTACTCAGACGACACACTGTTAAATGATAAATTACATCTATTTTAAACAAAATAAAAAACTTATTTAAAAAAAGGAATAATCTCATTCTTAAATAAGAGTTTGGGAATGAAAGCAACAAAATCTCAGATTTTTTTAAAAAGGGAGATGTCATCATGCAATGCAGATAACAACTTGTTCTGACTCAGGCTTCTTCAAACTTAGTAAAACAGAAACTGAATTTAAAAGTAAAACCTATTTTAATGCGTCGATGGGAATTACTTGCATTCCCAGCCAAAACTCATTATGCGGTTCCTCAACTAAGAGCACGCTTCTCAGTGCTGTAGAATGCTTGCCAACAAACAGACGTCCAATTAAGGCTTAACATAAACCAACCCAAAAACCCAGAAAAAAACGACCAGAGTACAGAGCTTCAAGATGGACTCAGAAATTACTGAACTGCCTTGCTTCCTGCAAAGCTTTTCATCATTGAGGACTTACTTTTATCCCTTATGGGAGGGGCAATCACCTCCCAGCCTTACTCCCAGTTCACCCCTTCTGCTTCAGCTGCTCTCACCTTCTAGCAGCTCTGCACACATGCGCACTAGGAACAGGTTTCCCGGGGTCCTCTGCTTTGCTGCTGCAAGACTCCAAAAGCTCCATCCCTGCATCAAGTGCAAGACCCTCGTCCAAGTCCTCGCCAGACTCCCTGACTTTCATCCTCACTGTCCGATTCCTCTGCTGTCCGCACCGGCTGCCAGCAAACCACAAAACTATCTCTCACCTCAGGGCCCTTCCCCCAAGTCTGACAGTCCAGATGCAGCCATGATGGGAATTGTGTGTGAAAGGCCTCCACCAAAACAGGGACATGGAAGTTGCATTCTCTCATGTGAAATCCTCTGGACCATAACCCTTCCACTCGATGAGGTGCTGGAACCGCCCTTTCAGCCACTGAGAGTCCCAAATACTGGCGACCTCGTACTCAGGCGGTCCCTCTCCATCGCATGGTGCTGGAAGGAGAGGGTCAGGTTGGTGGAGCGGACAGGCTGGCCATTTGGGAACCAGGAGGAATCTATGAAAGATGGGATGCACACGTAGTGAGCGAGGCAAAGTCAGGCGGTAGGTGACCGGATTGATAACCGCCTCCACAGGGAACGGGCCAAAGTACCAGTGGTTGAACTTAACCGGTCGGTCTGATGGAAGGTGCCTAGTGGACAACCACACCCAATGCCCCACAGCTAATGGCAGTGTTGCCTGCCTAGAGCAGTCCGCAACTTGTTTGTAATCCTCTTTGGCTTCCTCCAGATACCATCACACCAATTGGTGAACAGCCTGCAACTCAAACAGATAGTTGTTCGCATCTGGAGCCAGTGAGTCAAGTTGTATCAGGGGAAAGAACCAAGGATGATAGCTCACATTGGCTAGGAAAGGGGTGGTTTGCATGGAGGTATGCTGCGAGTTGTTAAATGCAAATTCTGCTACTGCCGAGTAATCTGACCAGTTGTCTTGTTGCTGGTTCACAAAGCAGCACAGGTATTGCTCCAGGATCCCAGTGACTTTCTCAGTCCCGCTGTCAGTTTCTGGATGATGTACTGATGACAGGCAGATTTTCAATTCCAAAGCCGTCATCAGCCCTTTCCAGAATTGGGCTGTAAATTGAGCCCCTCGGTCCGAAACAACCCGATCAGGTAGTCCATGCAGCTGGAAGATGTGCTGAATAAACATGCGGGCGGTGGTGCAAACTGTGGGTAAGCCATGACACGAAAAGAAATGTTCCATCTTCATCAGCACGTCAACCACCACGAACACTGTGGCAAATCCCGAAGATGGAGGCAAATCTGTCAAAAAGTCTATTGAAAGGGCACCCCAAGGTCTCTCCAATGTCAGCAAGGGCTGGAGCAGTCCTGGGGGAACCTCTGTTGCCAACTTGGCCTGCTGGCATTGCACACATGACATGAGATAGGACTGCAAGTCATGTCGTAGTCGGGGCTGCCAGAAAGTCCAAGACATGAGACGCAACGTCTTGAAAAGGCCAAAGTGCCCCGCTGCAGGATTATTGTGACACTGCGACAAGATAAGTCCCGGGAGTGGCCCCACCGGTACACAGACTCTGTTGTGATACTGCAAGAGTTCCTCAGTGAACGACCATGGAAAATTGGGTCCCACCTCTTGCTTCCATTGATCCATCCAAGCATTGTGCCACTGCGCCTCTTATATATGAGCCCATAGGTCCACTCGGACCTGAACTGCAGAGAAAGACTCTATGGGCAGAACTGTCCAGAGTGGGAGTTGGGCCTCAGGAAACAAGTACTTGGGCATCTGCCCTTTGGTTGCGACCACTCGGGATATAAGTGACACAGAAATTAAACTGGGCAAAGAAGAGGGACCACCGAATCTGGCATTGATTCAGTTTCTGGGCGGTCTTCAAAAATTCCAAGTTTTTGTGATCCGTCCAGACTTTAACTTGATATCACACCCCCTCTAAATGATGCCTCCAGGCCTCTAACACCGCCTTAATGGCTAGTAGCTCCTTCTCCCAGATGGTATAATTGCTCTCAGAAGAATTGAGCTTCTTTGAATAATATGCGTAAGGGAAGAGTGTACCGCCGGATGCGTGAGCCTGGAGTAGCATCGCTCCAACCACATCGGACGCATCCACTTCCACCATGAATGGATGGTGTGGATCGGCATGTTTCAGGATAGGCATTTTCATGAAGGCCTGCTTCAAGGCCTGGAACACCTGTTGCTCAGGAGCACTCCACCGGAATGGGACCTTTTTCTGGAGGAGCCAAGGGGCCTGGTCAGGGAAGCGAAGCCAGGGATGAAGGTCCGATAATAGTTGGCAAATCTGAGGAGTCACTGGACATCCTTCATTCGCCTGGGAGGTTGCCAATTGAGCAGAGACTCGACCTTGCTCGGCTCCATCGAAATGCCATCAGGAGAGATGCAATGCCCCAGGAACTCGATGGTGGACAGGAAGAACTGGCACTTCTCCAACTTGGTGAATAAGCGGTTCTCCCGGAGCCACTGAAGAACCAGGAGCAGATGGTGCAAGTGACTCTCCCTTGAGTTGGAATAGAACAAAATGTCATCGAGGTAAACCATGACAAATTGATCTAAGAGGTCCCGGAAAATGTCATTCATAAAATGTTGGAAGACAGCAGGAGCATTGGTCAACCCAAATGGCATGACCATGTATTCAAAATGCCCGTACCTGGTACTGAATGCTGTCTTCCACTTATCTCCAGGCCGTATCCATACCAAATTATACGTCCCACACAGGTCCAACTTGGTGAACACAGTAGCCTCCAGGAGCCGCTCCATCAGTTCAGGAAACAAGGGCAGAGGATACCAATTGCACACCGTGATGGCATTTAATCTATGGTAATCACAACAAAGCCTCAAGTCACCAGTCTTCTTTTTCACAAACAGGACCGGGGCAGACAGTGGTGATGATGAGGGCCGGATAAAACCCCGAACAAAGTTGTTATCCAAAAAGTCCTGCAATGAGGGCAACTCCAGATCCAACATTGAGTACAAACGGCCCACATTTGTATCCACCCAAACCAGCTTGTCTTACAACTCCTCCGACAACCCATCCTGGAACATATCCTTAAGGGTAGCCTCATTCCAGGCCGAATTCTGGCTAATCAGTTGGAACTCACTCACATATTCCTGCAGGGGTTGCTGGCCCTGCTTCAGTTCCTTCAAACAATGGGCCAGAGTACAGAGCTTCAAGACTGTTGAGGTAATTCCCCGTTAGGAGAATGAGCGCATACAGGGAGACGTATTGAGAGTAGTGTTTGAATAATACACACACACAGCACAG